GCAACCCTGAACTCTTAATGCTACTTCCATGTTGTCCTTCCATATTAGTATATTGTTCATCTAGTGCACGTTTCTCAGTACTCTTGGTACGGCGTGTTGTGAAGCCATACAGATCTGCGACTCTCCTGTCACTTTTTCCTCGAAGCATTTACGCAATTCGTTTTCAAGAGCAGGAATGCTTATCAATTAGAGGGGCTTGTGCGCTCATCTTTTCATCAAAATAAAAATAAGTTTGTATAATGTTATGACTCAAATATTACTTGCTATACCTTTAAAGTTCTACATCACATAAATGTTCACATGAGTCGAATTAACTGAAATTGAAATGAATGAATATTTGCTTCAGAATAATTAAAGTAAGTTAGTAAACTGCGAAAACAAAATTCGTAAAGGCCAAAACATACTTCGGCGCTGTTAAACGTCTTGAAATTTAATTAAAACCTAAATTAATGCATTACGTACAAAGAAAACAGGCTGCCGACTTCAATATTGAAATATGAATGAACAGACAGATCGTTCCAGCTCTGAAACACAATCCCCGATGTTCTTTAATGAAGAATAATTCAAAACAATTCGTTCATTAATAGGGACCGCATTCATGTGAAATGAAATTTCTGAGGCAAGGCGAGTCAAACGACTTATTATTGATAGGCTAATTAGTCTTAGAATAGCATGCATTCTAATAGCAATAGGCTAATTAGTTTTAGCATCGCATGCATTCGTTACAACAACGACTAGCCAGAAATATATAGAATTGGTGATACATTCACGAATACACGAAAACAGGGATATTATTAAATTAACTTTATTACACGCATTATTACATCTGTTTAAGTGATTGAGTTTCGCATTGTAAATATTTGCGTTTAATACACAGACAAAAGCCATTTAAGGTAACTCGTGTGATTGGCCTTAGAGTGCAGTTGGATATTCACACAATTAATGCGTGTTAAATATATGCTGGACGGATAAATTAATTTTAAATAAAGATCAGAACATTAATATAGAATTTTAAGTGAAGATGACTGTTTGGATTTATTTACGTTTATGTAAATACAGTATTAATATTTCAAATTGATGTGTACATCGTTGTAGTGCGTCTAAATTGGAGAAAAAATGTAAGGGGACTTCTTTCATGATACCAATCTATTTTATATTGAAAATTCCATAAACAAAGACAAAAGCATCAAAGAAAATCACAACGTTGTACGAAAGGTTCCCGGATATACACTGCTTCTCACAAAAAATACACTATAAACACAAAAATACAAAACCGACATTTCGACATTTCGACATTTCGTCTGTCATTCAAGATACGGACGTATATCACCCACGTCAGACTAGATTGTTAAGCTTTATTGTAGAAAGGAAATTAAATTTTAGTATTTTTTCTGCCCTATAATAATATTACATTCTTCAATTTCCCTATTCTCTGCTATGTTTGTTGAGCGTTGGTAGCCTGTTTCACTGGAGAGCCTGCAGTATCGCTACACTGCAGTAATTAAAAATCCAAAAAATATCGGTATACCCACATGTCCCGCACCATGAGGTCTGGCTAGTTGGACCTTTGTGTTTTTTCCTTTATACGACGCTCTAAACTTAAGCATAGTGGAGGATACTTAATTCATAAATTACTGTGAGTCTTACCAGAAACTCTCTTGCATGAATTTTGTTTTTATAACAATATGTCAGAGAGGGCTCTAGTAGCGCTACAAAAAAAAAAACTAAAGAATGCAGTTTATAAATAAATAAAAGACCAACAATACGGATCAGCACTATGCTTACGATAAAGCGAAAACGCTTTTTATGCAACATGAGAAAACTCAAATTTCATAAATGAAATTTATATAAGCATCAGCATAAATGCTGTATTATCAAGACTTGTATTCAAGGTCTGGTAATCTAATTTCTAGGCCCTTTTACTTCATAAATTATCTAAAGAAAGAAAGTATGCAATCGTTGACAGTGACTTTCGCGAATATATTGCTTTACATGTTTGTACTCTATTTTATAACATAATTAAATAAGCAAAGCTACATCTGAGCAAACCGAAGACGGTTTGTTATCAAAGAAAACATTGAAATTCATATCACCAGTTTCGGAACGTTGTTTTAACTCGAGCCCAACGAGAATTCATACAGCGTTCATTGTACCTACATGTTATAAGTTAAACATATAAATCGCATATAATATGTATTAACGTCACAATGTAGCATCTTAGCAGTAATAGAATCTTTTCACCCTTAGAATTACTCTGGCCATTCATCTTATTTCAGTGTTATACGAGAACGACGGCCACATAACATACGTCCCGCTACTTTGGCCTCGTAATTAGATAATACACATCAACCGAGCTATATACTGGCCCGTCTTAGTATAAAAATACCCAGAGATTACGGTCAGTCCCGAATGAAAGCAATCTTCTGACATTCGTGAGCGGGACCGAATCCCTACGAAGTTTCACGCTTATCTACTCACCCTTACCATTACCTGTAATGGAAATCGAATTATTATTGCCAACCGAGATAACCACGTTTGCAGTTTTACCTCATACCTTCAAGAAGTTACAATAAAGTACAGAAGATAGTCCGCAAAAACATGATCTAGTTCTATTCGGAAAAAGTTTCCGCTAACGTTAATAAACCGCTAATTTTGTCGATGGGAAGCTTCTAATAAATAACATGATTTAATTTAACGCATGCGCAAGTATAAGTGTTGTAAACAACAGCTTGGCTCCGCCCTTGCTTATGTCCATTGCTTCAATTTACCTAATCTCCTTGCTCTTTCGAAAATCATATTGACAAATCTGACGGAAGAACAATAAATCTGTTTTCTAAGAGCTTCGTTATTTCATTTTAAAGAAACCCTAAAAACCCTAAAAGAGAGGTGCGACCGTAAATCTCCAAAGTTTTTCTTCTCAAATTCTTTCATGATATTTTCAGCCAATTTATGAAGCACTCGCGCGTTCAGAAGAAAAGCCGTGATATTTCACGCTGTCGTTGTGAAACGAAGCGTGGAGGTTTAGCTTTATTAAAAGTTTAACATCAGTCTGTAGTCAATACGGTTTTTGTCGCGTCCTTCACGCTTGGATATCTCTCCTTTTAATAGAAATCAATCGACTTAATAGTCCTAATAGAGTAATTTTTTTTATTGCTCTTGTTGGCAGACCAGCACACGGCCCACCTAATAGTGAGCTGTTACCGTCGCCCATGGACTTCAGCAATGCCAAGGGCAGAGCCAAGCCGCTGCCTACCGCAACAGATTATTTGTAAAGTAATAAAAAAATAAAAAATGTTAACAACAAATATCATAACTTACAATTCTCTCAACATACCCATACAAGACGAGAACAAATGTGCCCGGACCTCGCTCACCAATTATAATTCGTAGCAAAGATACGGACTCCAACCGAGGACGAAAGTCGGTCAAGTCATCATTTAAAAAACGATTAGAACAATGAGTTTGTTAAATTGCGCTAACTGGATGGCGCAATAGTTAGCAACCCTAATTGCTGGGCCGAGGGTCTTAGTTTCAATTTTTCAATTCTTACTTCGCATAAAAAATCGTATGGCGAGAGGCTTCGTTGCCTCTTTGTTTGGGCGTTTAAAATCTATAGATGTAAATATATATTTGAACTTGTGTAAGTGTGTAAATTAGTGTCTGGTACCTTTAGTACCGAAATCCTGGCAGTGTCAGGTATACTGTTAAAATCTGCCTCTGATTATTTGTTGATGTGCTCGTATCTGTCTGCTTTACTTTAAATGAAGATTCGTTTCCTTTATTTAAATTCAATTTGACAGTGAACTTGTTAATAATCATTGACCGGAGATTCATTTAATAAATCTACATTTTTTACTGATACGAATTGAACAATATTTTCGGCTTTGCTACGGAAGATGGCATAATGATTGAAAAAAAGCTGAAGCGAGTTCATCGAGCGCATAGCTCGCAAGTCACTACCACATATAAGACAGCAGTAGAAATGTATTATCCAAGAAATTTCGAAATGTGGATGTACCTTATCCCAAATCTGAATGAATTTTTAATTTATTTGTTCTGTATATTTTGTAGCTTCCTTTCGCTTAACGCGACTTAAAAATTGGATGAATATATAAATATTGCATTTTAACCACTGGGCTTAAGTTATTAAAGGCAATTGGACCGCTAGGTGTATTGAAAAAAAAACTTGATTTAAAAATTTCTTTGTAATAAAATACAACAATATTGTCCGTCTCTATCATAATATGATTTCTACTGTAAGATCTACTCTAGTTTTCGATGTGTCCACGACAATTTGACAGCTGGGGCACTTAACTTACACACCAGGTGTCCACTAAATTAATTGACTGTCTACGTAAGTAGGTACAATTCTTAGAATCATTACCAGTCTGTTTTAAGTGTGTTCAGTACAATAACGTTTTTGATTTCGTTTCAATTTCAAAATGTAATCGTTACCCGTTTTAAAAACTAAACATATTTTGAAATTTTCTGATTTTCAAAAATTACGGGTCCATTATTTGCTGTCTCTCGTATTGATATCACACATTATCAGATGAATCGTAGCTAATCTTACTTCAATGGCAATAGAACTTGAACTATCTATACATATAGAATTACTTGTCCTGACTGACTGATTGATTTATCAACACAGCCGAAATCGCTGGGGCTACAATCTTGAAATATCGGCAGTTTATGCCTCTTAAGCCTTGTAAGCGTTCATTAAAGAATGATTTTTGGAAATTTCATCCTTAAGTATATAAAACAAGGGATGAACGGCTTTTTTGGAAGTCCGAGATTTTCGAAGTAAAAAGCGCGAAACTAAATATATTGTTATAACCTGGTGCTTGTTAATACAAATAACCAAGTCTAATATACACTCGTATTGAATATAGAAAAAAAATATCGAAATTCATTTCCTTTAATACAGTTTCGATATGGTTCCTTCGCCGACACAAACGTGCACGTATGGTAATTGTGTTTATTTTGTTGCAGCCTCGCGTATTCGATACGAGATTACGAGCGGTAACATAGGCGGTGCATTCGCTGTCAAGAACATGACAGGCGCGATTTACGTAGCCGGCGCCCTTGATTACGAGACTAGGAAACGGGTAAGCTCTACAATAAATTTGTAATTACCTACATGATCAATTACAATATCATTGTCATAATCATAATCGTAATACAAGTTTTCTTTATAAATTCATTATAATTAAGCCTTAAAAGCAAGAACAGAAGGTAGGGAATTTAATGCGAATGGTGGGAACTACAGTCTTAAATTGTACAGAAATTCCAACATAGATATATTTAGAACAACATATTTGTTCTAATTTTCTAAATAGATTCTTGTAATTAATACACTGAATATATTAAATTCGAACAATCGTATTTAAAATGTCAAATTTATCGTAAATAAACTACAATCGCGTATAAGATAATAATACATTTCCAAATAGCTATACATATATCTATATATATCACACGTATTTCATGTATTGATATATGCTTTAGTAGATTGTGTAAGTATATGTAAACAAATATCAAAGATACATACAGGAATCTTCCGAATTTCGAGTTCACTATTCAATCTGTTGTTTGAGTTTTGAATGAGTTTTGATTAGTTATTGATCCATTCGCTTTAAACCCACCATTTCCTTACTTCGACGAGTAAATGTCGATAAACATAATTATTATTAATGTTGTTGATATTTTAAAGCCTCAAAACCTCTCTTAAGTTGAATGGAGTCCATAATTTATAGTCCGAGTACGAATAAAGTTCTTCATCAGCAATTATGTCACGTCAAGAAAATCCCAAATTAAACAAGGGTGGACTACAGAGTAATCCTACAAAATTAAACATAAACCGCTAAGGTAAACAGGTGCGACTGAAAATCGTAATAATTCTGGGAAATCTTAGTAATTTTTATAAATACATTAACTTTTAATAAAGAAATCGGTCAAATCGCTTTTCGAATTCGGTGTGTAAAAAAAATAAAACACTTTTGTTCGAACTTGACAAAAATTCTCTAAACACTGGTATACAAGTATTCAGCACGTACACTTCTGTTAATTTTTGTGGTGGCTTTGAATTTTTTTTTTTTAATTATTACATTTTATTGTAATCAAAATGAGCGTCGAGTAAGATCAAAAGAGGATTAATCGCTCTTTTAATATAATTTCGTTCTATTATGGAATGGGCGGAGTTAGCGGTAAAACAGTGTTTTACTTTCTTTGCCCCTTGGCGAGTTTCAATTTTAAAGTATCTCGTCCGGGCGGGCCGAGGCGGCGACGACTGCGCGCTCGCCTATCGAAGGAACCGCCTTTGTTACGGCATCGACAAAGTTTTGTACAGCTTTTCTCGAGATAAATAATTTAATCTTTAATATCCATTTAAACGAGCCGCTGTAGTTGCTACCGGAGGCTATACCGCCAACACACTGCAAAATTCCCACGAAGATTTTATGAATGTAAGCCGGCTTACTTTGATGCACTCGTTTGCCTTTAAATGTTGTGGTTTCACGAAGTAAATATATTGTTATGCGTTAAGATGTAAATAACAGTCTTCGAAAGAGAAAATTGTTGAATAGGTAAGCTAGAAATTTGAAATTTTCGCGCTTACTCCATTCTCAACGTCTTATGTGACATTTCTCTAAGTCTCCGTGTATAAATCTGTGTATTTATCGAACATCTGCAAGTTCGTGAAGAAGCCGTTCGTTTTTTCGGATCTTAAATTTGGATGAGGTACAAATTCGGTTACTTTTTTTTTCACTAGTGCAGAAGAGTTAATGGCCTATCTCGTTTGAAATTGGTACCGAAGCCCAGAAACATAAAAAAGTGAATGCGACTGTCAGTGTTGAGATATAACTCTCTATTACAATAGAGAAACAGTTTTCTTACCCTTCAAACTAGAACACATTATTGCTTCACAGCAGGAACGGGTAGGCCCCGGCCGTAGCTACTCTTCGTACGGGCTCTTAACCAAATAAACAATTACTCTGAACAGAACTAATAAAAACATATATATAAAGCGAAGTCATTTACACGAACAATAATAACGGAAAGTTATTTAAAAAATTTGATTAGTCACTAATGAAATTCTCTGGTCACTGCGCCACGGTTTTCGTAGAGTACATATAACAAATGTCAATCATTGTTCGAAGTATGTCGAGGATCTAATGAAAATTGCAACATCCAACACCAAACTTGTATAATATGCGTGAGATGACTTTTGTAACAAACATTCTCCGCCCGACTGAGGAAATTACCGAGCGACACTGACAGATGACACCAATAACTCCGTCGGGTCGCAAGCACGCTCACTCTATTTTCGAAGCCAAGTGTGGACTTGTGCCCAAAGTTACGTTACGGATGGATTTATTTGCGGGTCGCTTAAGTAGTTCTTTTATCGCTAATGAAGCAAGTTACTAAATAAACAACGAAACTCCCTTTCAGGTCCGGAGATTAGGAGTTAAACGATTATTTTAAAATTGTTTTAGCACATCTTTCTTTTTGTGGGTGAGCAGAAGCGACGCCGCACCTTCTCTTAGAAGTGAAAAGCGAAAAATAGAACAAAAAACTTTTTGAAAATCTAAATTACAATTCGTGACTTAGCCAAATCGGTTTCGCTAAATTATTGCGAATGCTAAATTACTCGTCTTTTATGAAATACTGAAACATATTTAATGAAACTGTAAATTTAAACTCAACATGTAGGTTACAGTGTTAAGCAGTTTATTTTTGGGTAAACACTCTTCTCCTGAGAAACCTATCATCGATTCTTAACGTCTTGCCAAATTGTTTGGGTCCACAATAGTACGAGCTGAAGCTAGCGGCGTCCGACAACCTAAAGGAAAACTACACAACGGTGGTGATTCACGTGAAAGACGTCAATGACAACCCTCCAGTTTTCGAGCGACCTACGTACCGCACACAGATCACCGAGGAAGATGACCGCAATCTTCCAAAACGCGTTCTTCAGGTCCGATTCGAGATTGTTGACCGTGTCACATTCTATTGTCATGATGTGCTAAGTTATTTTACTGTGTTCAAGCATCAATTAATCACGAAAAAACCCTATAATACGATTATTATAAATGCAATCATGATATTTAATCTCTATTATATAGTAGATTATGAAAATAGAATCGGACACGGTAGTAACTCGTGGTCTGGTTTGATTTTAACGAGGTCGTTATTTATTTATTTTGCATGGCATGCAGGTTTCGATTTTTGTTTCTCTTTATTTTTTTTTCTTTTGTAGCGCCATCTGTTTTTGCTAGTGTCGTTGTTTTTTTTCTAATGTAGTCTACATTGATTTTGATAGTTGAAAAATGTATGCAACAGCAAACTGGTATTCAAACAGACTGAAGTTTTCAGTGAAATTCTCTTCGTGAATAATATCTATTCCTTGTCTCAGGATTCAGGGATCGTTATTAATAGTTATTTCTCTTTCTGAAATGTGTTTTTCTATTGCAGTCGGTACAAGTCTTTGTAATAGGTTCAAATCAGTTTTTTAAGTAAAAAATGTAATACAAAACATTTCGCCATTCCAATAATTTTTGAATGGTATTGAAATATCTGACTAATCAAAAACTACAGATGTTCGACCTTTCGAAAAATTCGCTTATAAACCAGGCGGACATTTTATATTCTCCAACAACGGTCATTTAAATTTTCGAATATAATTTGCGGTCGAAGCGGAGTTTTTGTTACGGTAATGACGAGGGAACTTCGGCAGCTGGGTTCGGAGTTTGGCGGAGTGCGCGGTTCAAATGTATTTTTCAATCATAACGTGAAATTCTTCGCGCAGCATAAATTAACTTATTCGCTGCGATTAATTCTCGGCGGCTTTTAGTACATTCACAGTGAAAACTTTGTTACGAACAAAAATATTTTCTTGAACAACAAAAAGTTTTTCATATAAACTGGTCTGAGTTACAAAGAACTCATGGAAGCGCTAACTCACTTTATAGTAAAGTTTACATTTTCAATCTGGCGTATCTTAAAGAAATGAAATGGAAGTTTCGTAAAAGAAATATCGGATTAAAATTCGTAGAGCTGTCATTAATTTGTAATATTCAAATACAACTGTAGTTACTTTTATGTACACGCAGTATCAATCACTACGAATAAACCTGATTGGTTTTTCTGGTGATAAATTATAAATAGGTGATAAATAAAAAAATAAAAAAGAATAAGTTTAACGCACATTACGCATCATTTCCAAAACTGGAGTATGTGTGATTGTGCATGAGCATGTTGGTGCAGTAATGTGCGTGTACGCAGTACGAGTTGACGCTGGTGGCTTCGGATGGGCGCAACGAGAACTCAACGCACGTTGTCATACGGATACTGGATGTCAACGACCTGCCGCCCAAATTTACGCGCACTGTCTACGTCACGCAGATTCTCGAAGAGACAGGACCCTTCCCACGTTCCCTTATACAGGTTTTTGTTTTGTTTTATTTTAAGTTCAGTACCCGTTTTTTTTTCATGGAAGTATGTATATTTTTTATTTTATTTTGAATTACCAAAACCGTACCATAATATTATTCGGTATTGTTTTTCAAAAGTATATAACATATATATTTTATTTAAATCAGACATTATATTTATTAGGCCTGGCATGAAATTATTAATATATGGCATAAACTAAGCTTAGTGCATACAAGGTTTCCCATTAACGTGTAAGTCGAGAAACGTAGTTTCCCCTGTTATTATTAATACCTGTAATACAGAAGGTATCTTAGACACAGCCCATTAACTTAGTGAACTTTGGGAACATCTTAATATTCTTTACAAAGAAATTTTCGTTAAAGCTGCTCTCCAAGCTCACATTCGAGACTTTTTTCAAGGTAATAACCAACATTTTATGAATACTAACAAAAATAAATTCACATTACAACCTCTCTTCTTTTCATATGTACGTTTTTTTTCAAACAGTCAATAAAAGTTGCTTAAAAATAAGTATTTAACTTGTATATGATTTATATCTTTTTACTTTACAAAAATTTGCCTATCCAAATTTCCTATCCTTGTAATACTACTGGGTTTATGTGTCTAGAATTTCATAGAAAAAGTAATTAAAAACGTCGTCTACTAACTTTTAGCGAACCAAAACCAATTGCTTTATATTTAGATTACATATCTCAAACATGGAATCAGGTAAGTACAATTCAAATTTATTAACTATTGGTACCTAGTCAATGTTTGGAAAGTATTTTGCTGTGCGTACTCACGATTTGCATGTATGTTAATAATTAGCTAACGTATTTTGGAACGAAACTAATACAAGTGCTCCATTAATTTAAATAACATTATGTAAAATGTTTTCATTTCGAAACTTGAGCTTCGTGTTTTATTTACGTCCGCAAAATCATTTGGTTATATTTGAAATTCTAATTCAACTTATTAACTATTCCAGAATAATTTACAAAGAATTTATACATACTCTTTTCAGCGAATTAATCTTATTTTTTGCTAGAACTTTGACGATTACATTTTATTAATTGTTCATAACTTTGCATCACTTTGAAATAGACAGTATCAAGAATATTTGAAAAAATTTAATTCAAGTCTGAAACAGTATAATTACAAAAGGCTCTTAGACTATTAGGTGTCCTAGTAGATTTTTGGACCTGTATGGAACGAAATAATTCACTGAATTATATGAATAAGTTCCTAAGAAAAGCGAGAGTATTACGTTACGTAATAGAATTGCTCCATTTAGATTCCATTAGTCCAGTCGCCCATTATACTTTGTCACGATATCACAAGACAAGAATTCCCATAGTTACATGTAATTATTGCCGTGGGGAATAGCGACTACAAAAACAATCTACTAATCAGATATATGTAACTCTTGTACAAATTAAAAGGGTCTTCTCAACAATGGAAACCTGTTCGAAATTAACATTTTTCAAGTTTTGTATTCAATCATCGGAATGTCCATTTACCAAGGGAACGAAACCCTCGTTCCCGGATCGCTTGTAGTGACAAGCTTTTTTTTTATAATTGGAGTGAGATTCGCAAATGATCCGAGTAATTACGCAAACGTCGACCCTCTTCATTTCTCTTGCTCGGACCAGGCCCTCCTAATTGACATTCCACTTACTAAAGTATAGATATGCTCCAAATATCACAATGATCAATTCCCTCACTGAAAGTCGTTGCCATTATTATTTATTATCATCATATTTGTGGTCGAATATTTGACAATGTGGGTTATAAAAATGATAAAATCCAAACAACTCATTTTTGATATATTACGACTGATAGCACTTTGAAGAGGTAGAATAACATAGATATTCTCTGAACTTCTTTAAACGTCGATAAAACTTTATGTTACTTCAAAATATTTTATGAGAAAGCGAAAAGTTTGTTTAGTTTCTTGTAACCTATCTAAGGCAGTCTTTCGACGATGCAAACAATTCCGCTTTTAGTGAGTTCAGAAACATTCAGAAACTATTCTCGTCAACTCATTTTTGTTCATTGTTGTATTTACTGCTTCGTATTTAGATATTTTAGTTCTGCTATATAACATGAAATTTTTATTTCAAAATATAAACAAATGTATTATGACTTTTACCTTGCATTCAATACTCTTAGATTCATTTCTAAACTTACCCAAAGTTTGCGTTTATGTCTATATTTTAAAGAAGCAATATTCCTACTTTACAGTACTGTGGTAATTATTTTCTATTATGTGCTCCTTCACTTGTTTTCTGTATCTGTTTGTGTTTCAACGGAATAAATAAGTCACCCTCAAGCCCTTGGGGACGTCTACATCGATAGCCGAAAACTTCATCACTGTGGTACGATTCGATAATCAAACCAGAAACACAAAGCCCAAGTTTCGTAAACTAATTTAAAATTGGATAAACGAGTTACCGTTTTCGGAACGATGTAACTGACTTACTTCACAGCTTATGTTTAGTTCCACTATATAAATATTCACTTTGTTGTAATTAATTAACAGCAGGAAGAAGCAGTGGATGGAACTATACAGATTTTAACGAATCGCTTTCTGGTGATATTGTAGGTAACTGCAACCGACGGCGATAAAGATAGGCAGCAAAACATTGTCTATTTTCTGACTGGTCAAGGCATCGACCCAGACAATCCTGCAAACAGTAAATTCGACATTAATCGCACTACGGGAGAGATATTCGTATTAAAAGTGAGTACAAATATACATAATTGTTCTGAAAACTCTTCACTACTAAAAATTCACATATTTAATGAAAACTATACGAGGGTAGTTTCCATTTGTGGGTTATTCATGTAAACGTATTTTAATGGTCCGGATATGATACTATGAATTTTCTAAAATTCCTGTTAGTACAATGTTTTCAGGTAAATCCTTTAAATGTGCTAGAACATGAACTCCAGATAGCCAGACTATGTGCTCTGCATACCGAATGCAATCGTACAATTATTGCATTCCATTTATATCATAACCTGAATGCAGAAATTCCTGTAACATGCAAACCTCAATGAACGATGAATACTAATTATCTTGTTTGAAAAGGTAGGGTTAGTGTTAGGAACGACGTCAAGTTTGAGCACCCTGAGCTCACCTACTAGTTAAGGCTATGCCGAAATGGTGTCTCAAGACCATCAGATTAGATAGGAAAAAAAATTTGAAAATGTTATTTTTTTGTAAAGTCTATTCTGAAAGATTATTCTAGGAACAGTTCTTGGCTTATTACAATTTTATTTCATTTCACGTTCACATGCTAATATATCTCTTTTGTTATTTTACGTTGTTCCATATTATACATTTGTTTACAGTCCTTGGATCGTGATCAACCAAATGGCCGACCGCAATGGAGATTCACTGTATTTGCACAAGACGAAGGCGGTGAAGGACTCGTGGGCTACGCAGACGTTCAAGTTAATCTAAAAGATATTAATGATAATGCGCCTATTTTCCCTCAAGGCGTATACTTTGGTAATGTTACGGAAAATGGTACAGCTGGGATGGTTGTTATGACGATGACGGCTATAGATTACGATGATCCAGCTGAAAGTAATAATGCGAAGCTTTGGTACTCTATAGAAAAAAATGTTATTGAAGAAGAGACAGGATCGCCTATATTTGAGATCGAGCCAGAAACTGGTGTAATAAAAACTGCTGTCTGTTGTCTAGATCGAGAAAGAACCCCAGATTATTCAATTCAAATAGTAGCATCAGATGGAGGCGGTCTAAAAGGAACTGGTACAGCATCAATTAGAGTTAAGGACATAAATGATATGCCGCCTCAGTTTACTAAAGACGAATGGTTTACAGAAGTAGATGAAACAGACGGAACTAATTTACCAGAAATGCCCATCTTAACTGTGACCGTTCACGATGAAGATGAAACTAATAAATTTCAGTATAAAGTTATTGAAAATAGCGGTTATGGTGCTGATAAGTTTACTATGGTTAGGAATAATGACGGGACAGGTTCATTAAAAATTGTACAGCCTTTAGATTATGAAGACCAGTTACAGAGTAATGGTTTCAGGTTTAGAATACAAGTTAACGATAAAGGAGAAGATAATGACAATGATAAATATCATGTAGCTTATTCATGGGTTGTGGTTAAACTTAGAGATATAAACGACAATAAACCTCAATTTGAAAGAGCCAATATTGAAGTATCTGTGTACGAAAATGCAGAGGTGGGTAAAAGCTTAGAAACCTTTAAAGCAACTGATCCTGATCAAGGAGGAAAAAGCAAAGTATCTTACGCGATTGACAGATCGTCTGATAGGAAAAGACAATTTTCAATCAACCAAGAAGGAACTGTCAGTATACAAAGATCATTAGATAGGGAAGATACACCTCGACATCAAGTAAAAATTTTAGCTATAGACGATGGTGTTCCTCCACGAACAGCAACTGCTACTCTCACAGTTATTGTACAGGACATTAATGATAACGCACCGACATTTTTGAAAGATTATCGACCTGTTTTAACGGAACATATTACACCAAAAAAAGTAGCCGAGATTTTAGCTACAGATGACGATGACAGATCTAAAAGCAACGGTCCACCATTTCAATTTCGTCTAGATCCCGGTGCTGACGACATAATAAGAGCTTCTTTTAAAGTTGAACAAGATCAAAAAGGAGCAAATGGAGATGGCATGGCGATTGTTTCTTCACTACGTTCTTTTGATCGAGAGCAACAGAAGGAATATTTAATTCCCATAATCATCAAAGATCATGGGAATCCTGCTATGACTGGAACTAGTACTTTAACTGTAGTTATTGGAGATGTAAATGATAACAAGATGCAACCAGGTTCCAAAGACATCTTAGTGTATAGTTATCAAGGTCTGTCACCTGATACTGAAATTGGGCGTGTCTATGTATACGATTTAGATGATTGGGATTTGCCAGATAAAAAATTCTTCTGGGAAAATACTGAAAATCCGAATTTCACTTTAAACGAAGAAACTGGTATGATTACAATGAAACAAAAAACAAGAGAAGGAAGATACCATTTGAAATTCAAAGTATATGATAGAAAGCACACACAAACAGATGTGCCTGCAAACGTAACTGTTTACGTTAAGGAAATATCACATGAAGCCATAATAAACTCCGGTTCTATTAGAATATCTGGAATATCTGATGAAGATTTTATAAGAGTGTGGAATTATAAAACTCTCAGCGTTTCAAGAAGTAAATTAGACATATTCAAAGATAAATTAGCGGATCTTTTGAATACGGAAAGAGAAAATATAGATATATTTAGTGTTCAACTCAGGAAAAAACATCCACCCGTAACTGATATTCGATACGCTGCCCACGGAGCACATTATTATAAACCAGTAAGATTAAATGGTATTGTATTGATGCACAGAGAAGAGATTGAAAGGGCGGTCGGAATAAATATAACCATGGTCGGAATCGATGAATGTCTCTATGAAAATCAAATGTGCGAAGGTTCATGCACTAATACATTGGACATAAGCAGCTTACCCTACATGGTAAATGCAAATAAGACCGCTCTTGTTGGTGTGCGCGTTGATGTCATAGGACAGTGTACATGCGGTGCACGTAATTTTACTCAAGCTGAAACATGTCGCAATTCACCATGCTATAACGGCGGTAGGTGTATTGACGGAAAATATGGACTAACTTGTTCATGTCCACCTGGTTATACTGGGCCGCGATGTCAGCAAACGTCAAGGAGTTTCAGAGGAACGGGGTGGGCTTGGTACCCATCTCTAGAAATGTGTGATGATTCACATCTAAGTTTTGAATTTATAACAAGAAAGTCCGAAGGTGTTTTAATCTACAACGGACCCATTGTTCCACCTGAGTCCGAAGAAATCATGGTATCCGATTTCATATCTATAGAATTAGAAAGAGGCAATCCAAGATTGTTGATTGATTTCGGATCGGGTACCTTAGAATTAAGAGTGAAAGCAAAGAAATCTTTGGATGATGGAGAATGGCATCGAATCGATATATTTTGGGACACTGAAAACGTAAGAATGATTGTAGACTATTGTAAATCAGCTGATATCCAAGAAATGGAAGATGGCACTCCACCCGAATTCGACGATTCTACATGTCAAGCAACTGGGACGATTCCTCCATTCAATGAATATTTAAATGTAAATGCTCCACTTCAAGTCGGTGGTTTATATATAGAACACTTTGACCCTACACATTATCACTGGCAGTATATGCCAATCGGCAAAGGATTTGACGGATGTATTCGTAATTTGATCCATAACAGTAAACTGTATGATTTAGCTCATCCGGGTCTTTCTCGAAATTCAGTAGCAGGATGCCCACAGACAGAGGAAGTGTGTAATCAAGCTGATACAACATCTAGATGCTGGGAGCACGGAACTTGTGTTGGGAGTTTTTCGGAAGCGAGATGTCAATGTCAGCCAGGTTGGACTGGTCCTTCGTGCAATTTACCAACAACGCCCACCAGTTTCAGACCCCAAAGCTATGTAAAATTTGCTTTAAGTTTCGAACCGGACCGATTTAGTACACAGATTCAGTTGCGTTTTAGAACACGGGAGCCTCACGGTGAATTATTCAGAGTGAGCGATCAACACAACCGCGAATATGGAATATTGGAAGTAAAAGACGCTCGTCTACATTTCCGATATAACCTTAATTCCTTGAGAACCGAAGAACGTGATGTGTGGTTAAATTCTGTCGCTGTCGATGATGGCCAATGGCACATTGCTCGGGTCAGTAGATATGGAAGTGCTGCGACACTAGAGATAGATGGCGGTGAGGGACGACGGTACAACGAAACATTTACATTTGAAGGTCATCAGTGGCTTCTTGTAGATAAACAAGAAGGTGTTTACGCTGGCGGAAAAGCCGAATACACTGGAGTGAGAACCTTTGAAGTGTATGCCGATTTCCAAAAAGGTTGCTTGGATGATATAAGATTGGAAGGAAAACATTTACCTTTGCCGCCGGCTATGAATGGAACGCAGTGGGGTCAAGCAACAATGGCCCGTAATCTCGACCGCAATTGTCCTTCAAACAGTCCTTGCATTAACGTGCACTGTACGGAACCCTTTGTATGCGTCGATCTGTGGAACGAATACGAATGCACGTAAGTATATCAATATTAATAAGAAGTCTTGCAAAATTTTGTAACAAAACGTAATTGTAAATTATGAAAAGTTACAGAGTTCAGCTAAATGTGTTTTCAATTTACTCTGTTAAGTTTTATGATTTTAATTTTGATGTTTTTGCGCGCACTGAGTAAAACTTTGCTTTATCTTATACACTATAATTTTATAAAAAAAATAATGTTATTACGCACTTTTATTCTACAGTTCTAAACGAAAAGTGTTGAAATTATCCTGGTGTCAATGAAAAGTAATTTATATTTTAATATTTCTATATTTTTTTTATTTAATTGTATTTATGTTTATGATATTAAAGTGGTCAAAATTATTTACATTACGTATTTCATGATGGTGTTTAGTTGCGGTGAGGGTTTGACTTTAACATCAGACTCAAAGAATTGCATTGACAAGAACGAGTGTCTCTACTTCCCTTGTCGCAACGGAGGCTCTTGCGTCAATCGCGAGCCGGGCTACCGTTGTCACTGCCCGGAAGGGTTCTGGGGCGAGAACTGCGAGCTCGTACAAGAAGGTCGCACTTTGAAACTCAGCATGGGAGCGCTGGCAGCCATCCTCGTCTGCCTTCTCATTATAATGAGTGAGCACAATAGCCATGTGTCCGTGTTCCATTAGACGAGCACCCCTAGCACTGTCATGATCGCACCATCATTTTAAATCCATTGCTCATATTATAGACATATCTGTGTACTAGATTTGTATTAGATGTATATGTAAAGCATGCTTAATATCCGGAAGCTCAGTGCGCGCATCGTTGGATCCGCGGAGGAGGAGAAGGTAAATTAAATGTTGTGTAGGTGTCCGGGAGGGTCCGTCCGTGCTGGCAGTACTTGTATGAACATCAACGAGTGTTTGGAGCGGCCTTGTTTAAACGGAGGCACGTGCGTAGATCGAGAGCCTACCAGAAGATATGACTGCATATGCAGTTTCGGCTACGCCGGTCACGACTGCGAACTCGAACTTCTTGCTTCAGGAATAATTACACCCTCGAGAGACTTCATTATAGCTATTATAGTTTGTTTGTTCATGCTTTTAGGTAAGCACTACTCATTTATACAGGTTTTGCATGCACATAAACATCATCCATACAATACCATTTTAGTTATGTCTGTTTTGTATTTAACTCTTTAGTTGGTTGCTTCAGAAATACTGTACCTAATTACTTTACTAAAATCAAAAGTTACTTACTTATAAGAGAAACATAAACGTTATTATAACAACTAAATTTATGTTGAACCATATCTAAAACAATCAAATGTTATAATCCGTTCTAAAGTAAACGACCCTCTCGAGTCCCTTCTATTATAATACATGTATCTTAACGGTTGGTACAAACCGAAGTGTATTTATCCAATTTCCTTTGAGTATGCGAAACAATAGTGAACTCGGACTTTATTTGTTTTTCCCTCAAACGTGACTTTTGCTTATCAGTATTGGTGTTGGTATTCGTGGTGTACAATCGACGTCGCGAGGCACATATCAAGTACCCCGGTCCTGATGATGACGTTCGCGAGAACATCATTAACTACGATGACGAAGGTGGCGGTGAAGACGATATGACCGCTTTCGATATCACCCCTCTGCAGATACCGATTGGAGGACCTCTGCCCGATCACGCACCCGCTAAACTACCATGTGAGTTGCTAATTAGATCACAGCTATATTTTAAGAATAAAAAACTCACTATGTTGTTTTAATTATAATTAAGTATAAGAAACAAGAGTGCTAAGATACGAAGAAAATATCGTATACCTTTTTAGTTTTGTTGCACAAAATAATTTTTAACGTGTGACGTCAAAAGTGGGTATATCAACGACAGTACCAATCATTAATGATATACACGCTCATCGCTACGATTCATATTTCTGAAGTATTCGTAAAAGAAATTTTAAAAACACCTATTAATTAAATATACTTTATAAAAATCTAATTTTCGATTGGGATCCTTGGTTATATTTACATTATTTTTAATTACGTCCGGTCCGTCTGCCATCGTATTTCATTTGATCAATCGAATGTCTGAACCTTATTTGATTAAATTTACGCAGATCCATTGATCGGCGTTGGCTTAGGCGTTGGTCCAATTGGCGTTGGAGTTGGAGTGCCTCCCGGTGTTGGGATGCCGATGCCCGGCGAAACCAACGTTGGTCTGTTCATCGAGGAACACAAACGGCGCGCTGACAGTGACCCTAACGCACCGCCCTTCGACGACCTGCGTAACTACGCTTACGAAGGCGGCGGCAGCACTGCTGGATCATTATCCTCGCTCGCTTCTGGTAAGTTGACTACGTTAAGATGCGCTTTTGTGAGACTTTCAGAAAAGATAAGAAATCATTTTTTTATTAAATAGGTAAATGTTACTTTTAATTGTCTACGAAAGCGAGTCGAACTCAACAATACCAAGGGCACCAAACCGCTGCTTACTATTACTTCTCCGAGAAAAGAATGAAGATGCGGATATCGTCTCCATTGTATTATCGTGACACACTATAATCTAATCCCGTTCCTGTCATCATGACCGATTTATCTCAAAATTGTTACCTTTCTAAAGATATCTTAAATCATCATCATATATCATATTATGTCATATGTATTTGGTCATAGCATGACTTTCTTGAACCGAAGTGTTTTATCACTAAACGAATAAGGGAGCTTACGTTAAATATTTATTGGAACCGATTGACATCATATCATGAGTGTCGCCATCCAACCTTTCTAAGTTTCAATTGTATAACGGCTGCCCCAAATCCTTGAAACTGGAAAGCATGCTTCGCGGCAGAAATAGGCAGGACGGTGCGGGCAAAACGCAAAACGTAAAAAGCTCTCTCTACCTACAGTAAAAAAGCAATTAATTATATGTAATTGCGTTGTATAAAATTTGTTCGGATCTAAGTTTTAAATCAATGATTTGAATAATGTTAATGGAACGTCACCCGTTGTGTGCAGGCACCGACGACGAGGCCCACGACTACGACTACCTGGGGGCCTGGGGTCCGAGGTTCGACAAACTCGCCGATCTGTACGGGCCCGACCTCGACGAGCAACTGTAAAAACGTACCGACAAACGCGCGACTGCGCGCTCATTTAGTCAATTGTCTCCCACTATCGTACCCGCTAAGTAACTCTAACATGCTGTATCGGGAGCCCACTCCTCACCGACGCGTCTTCATCCTGTAAATAAAAAGCTCCCGTGTTAAAATGAGCACGGGCCGCTTTGACTTCGTTCGTAATCTCAACAATTTTATACGACCTTATTTACAAGACATACTTAGCTTTACAATTGATTTTATTATTATAGATAACTTAATTGCGTCGTTTTGTAAGGTAAAATATTTCACCAAATATTCGTTGTAAGTTTATTATTTGTATTAGCCATATTATGAGTCAGTATTTTATTGGATTTAACGTATGTCGGCTTATTTCTGAGGGAGGATCGCGCTTGAATTTCAGAACGGATGTAGATAGTGTGTTGTAAGGAGAGTGAATAATTTATACGAATATTTTGTAAGAGTGCAAATTTACGTAATATCAGTTGGATCGTCGACCTTCCCTCGTGAAACAGCAACTAGTGTTTAATAAATATAATACGTTTATATGTATTTTAATATAGCAATTATTGAATATCACGAAATAACATTAGAGTCAACGATGCATGATGCTCATACGAAACGAAAAACTTATTAAGGGAGCTGTATATATATAGTAAAGATATTGAAGCTCCTACTTTTAAATAAAAATATAAAATATTGGATACGCTAATTGATACGCGTAACTGTACAGTAATTGGTGTTCCTCTCCTAAAGTCTCCACGTAGTGCTAGTTATATAGAATATTCGGGAACGACTAAAGTCTACTCGTGCAGTAGGTTAATATGATATAATATTATGATAATAGGTAATGGGTCGCTGAACTCCTCACTCTGTGTGCGTATGTGTTATGCGAGTATGAATGAGCATGAGTACCTCATGTACCTGTGTGCGTGTAAGAGAATGTGTGCGTCGGATGTGTGTACAAAGGCACGGCGACGGGCGCGTCCTAAAGAATGGGATTGTGCCAATACTAAGAATCCCCTGAGCGGCTATGACAGTAGATTTAAATCTCAGCACATTATTTATTCGTATGATAACAATATTAAATTTAGTCGCACCTAGAAAAATATCAATAACTTATTAAGAGTGTTGTGCTAGAATATTTCGATTCAATTTTGACGTGAGACGCGCCTTTAGAAACGTAGAAGTCATTATTTATAAAATTATTTTTAAGGTTTAATAGTAAAATTATTAATCTACGTGCCGTTTCACGTCAAGATCGGTGTACAATCACTGTACGTCTAGAGTATAATGTTGCGTTAAAATGACTGATTTTTATTACATATGCGTTTGAAGTCTAAGATTTTTTTAAGTCCTTGTTCAAATAGATTTCTAATTACAGGCCTCATTATAAATTCACCCTCTAGTTTGCACCGATGACAAATAATAGTTAATATTGTTCATGATCAAATGTTAAAAACAGTAATAAAGCATTTCTCGTTAATTAATGTAATTATAAGTAGAATTTCATAGATGTTACATAACTATTTATTTTTATGTCATTACACTGCCAGTTACATACATATAGATGAGTAACGATAGCGGCTCGGGTCCGGTTTTATATTTTGTCTTATATAACAATGTATTGTAAGTTTTTTAAACTGTTTTTATAACGTTTTTTTTTCACGACACAGTTTCGATACGAAGCACGCGATTTTTATGCTCTGCAGATTTCGATGGGTTTTTTATTTTGTAATTTTATAATAGTAAAACGATTCCGTAGTTACCCCATTGAAATAGATCAGTTCAAAATTGTATGCGCACAACTCAGGAATTTGATTTTAGTGGAACACCAAAGTTAATGAAATATTTGTAAAGAAGTAATAGGATGAGGACTAATCTCGGAAATGGTGCAATTCATTATACAATTCAATTTTCTTTCTCCCTTTGATTATTAAATATCAAAATACGTAAGTAGTAAGGAAAGTGCTGTAAATCTATATTTTATTAAAATCATCTCCTCGCTGTGAACTCGCGAAATATGCAGTTTTACAAACAAAGCTTCACAAAATGGTGAGTTTTAAAATGCAATACAAATGTTAATCTCTTTATTTTTCAGGCTAGAGATATTATTTTAAAACCTTTTTACAATGTTGAAAATTATTTAAAGAAATATATATATATACTATCGGGTATGCTTACAGTGAATTTGTGAAAACCTAATTAAGGAAAAGGCTGACGCACACTTTCGAGAAATAGATTTTATCTGCGCGTCGCACGAATTTTCAAATATTATAATAAATTTAAGTAGTTTCCGTTGAGAGTAATCTCATTAAGAATTCTGGTAACAAACATTTGCGCATTTGTTGATGAAATTCGATCACAATCACTCACAACTCAATAATTTAATTTTATGGAAAACAAATGCTCTTTTATTTCCATTTGTTCTTGTAATGGTGAGATAGAATACTTTTTTCAATACACAATTTTATTGATAAAACTTAGACCTGTCAATACAAAACCGATCGACAGACATAGCAGAAAAAGATATTGAGTTTTTTTTTTGTTTTGTCTCTTTATGTATAAATATAGCGAGGAATCAATCGAAATCTCTAGAAAAATTTAATCTTAAAGGATTTTTGTTTCATTACTGTAATTGAAAACGAAATTGATGGGGATAGTTTTTATTCATTTCACATAATATTATGTATACAAAAATTAGACTGCAGAGCACGAAATCTCGATACATTGAAATACTCGAAGACGCTGTAACACGTCTATTGATCAGATTTATATTATGATTTTAGTAATAATTTTGATATTGTACCGCGTGGTTATGTTTTGTTTCAACTGTGATTAATTAGTTGTACAACTCTGATGACGATTACATAAAAGATTAAATAAAAAATATGGAAAAAGAAAACACGTGTACTTTTATTTAAACTCCCAAACATCACTTGTGTTTAGTAATCTGTTTTATTTTTAATTTAAAATTTTATCGTTGTTTTAGATTTTAGATTATACGCCATAAGGAAAGGTCCGGCCGTGTTTTGTCCTTAAAATGAACAATTAACTTCGAACCCGATCGGAAGAGATTAAACGCGGTGTTACTGTTCTTTGGAGTAAGCCCAGCTTGAAGGGTGGAACAGCTGTGACACAGTATAATTAAGACTTCGTTTTCATATCTCAAGACGAGTGGCATTCACTGTATGCAGTCTATAGTCTGCGTTAAATACAAAACAATATCGGTTTTTTAGGCCCACCTGGTGTTAAGTGGTTAGCGTTGTCCAACTGCGTAAATGCCGCCACCGACCTTATGACATGAGTTCTAAGTCTCAATGCTGCCCTTCAGACCAAAAACGCATTACTGCTTCACGACAGAAACAGACACGTTGATGGTTCATGACCCTGCGGGCTTAAGACGACTTACCAATAGTAAAATATATAAGTATAAAATAAATTAGATCGCAACACATTTGAATAATATTGTTTACTTGTACTCAAGTAATAAAGCCCGAAAAATTGCAAAATTAAAGTAATAGTTTTGAGAACTTAGGCCCGGCCACCGAAGTTATAGCCAAGAACTTAACTTTTGCATTTGGTACGTAGCGTTATTTTTTCGGATTACGCTTTCTCTGATAGCCTATTAAAAATAAACTTAAGTCCGTCGGAGTGAACAAAATATCTGTAACTTAATTTAAATTATTGAAGTGTTTATTTATGAATTAGGCGCCTAAAACATTAGGAAACCTTGGAACACGAGGCGCCCTACGACAATATTCACAAATGGCGTCTTACTCTTTTATGATCTTCGGGATTACGGTCGTACCCCATTTAACCCCCTACAGCCCCGGCAATTAACATGCGCTGCCTTCGTTTCCGACCCACATTATTTATTTGTGCCCACTTAGCTACCTAACCAAACATTTGGACGCTCTAATTGAAATTGGATTTGCGATAACGAATGCTAATTTAACTAAACGGCTCTTGTAAACAAATTCACGTGGATAAGAATATTAAAAGGATGTGCTCGCTTATGGCTCTCTATGTTTTTAAGTATAAGTCCTAAGTCTCGAATTAAGTAAAATATGCTGGTGCCGGTGCTCCTCCGTCAGCTATGAATCATGTTAACTCTTAAGATGGAAATAAAAAGGAAATCACCTGTACAGCTTCATGGGCAACTTCAATTTTGTAGGTTCACTTGTAAAGCATAAAACAGTAATAAAATCTTAACAAAATTTAACAGACGCGCCCACACAAGTTTTCAAACCGATTTACCACACTTGGGACAAATACTAAGTCGGTTTTGTGGACGTGATATATATTTGTAGCCAGATAATATGTAGGCATAGACCTTTAAAGTATTCATACTTCTGTGTATGTAGGTAATTAAATAAAATATTTGATTTTTTTATAAAAAAGCCGCCAAAGTCATAGTCGTTTTTTTAAGGGATTTTATGACCTGGTAACTAAGACCTTTAGGTCAAGTCTTATTTTAATTGTAATGATAACTTTTTTATATGAAAAATGATATTATGAAATGAAATGAAGTTGATTATTATGAAACATGGCATGAAATGAAAACGAAATGAAATGAGATGAGATGATATGGGATAATCTCAGTAAAATGGTGGCCATTTATTGAGACTTTTTCAGTGGACTTTTTGGAGGATCCCGAGAATTTACGTTCAGCGGCTATGTTTCATTTTCCCACATTTACGCACTTTCACAGATTCTAAACAGTTAATAAACCACCGTTATTACACATTTAAACCTGAAGAAACACTACCTAATTAGACAAAATAAAACAAATCACACAACTTCACTCCTCGCGTTCCCGCCAAAAAGTCAGTCATAGTTGTGTGAAAAATGCACAGATAATATACAAAAATAGGAAATGCGTTTCGTTTCACGCTATGAAGATCTTGAACACGATTGAACCTGTTAAAATTAGATTACTCTGTGATTCCTATTACCACGATGAGAAGATACAACTTGAATTATGAAGGAACAGTTTTAGTAATAGTACTTTAAATAATTTAACAAAATTTCCTTAACACAAAAAGTATTCGAGTTTGAGAAAAAACTTTCATTCTTTGACAAACTAATTTAAGTTGAATCTATTTTTGCTGTATTTTTATCACGAATGTGAAATTTGCGTTTTCTCGTTGCATTATCGATACAGACGATATCAATCTAGTCAACTTGAAGTATCAAAATACAACTCATATAAACTAATTGACAAAATTATAAAAACTTAATCTACTTAATCTATACTAAAAACTCTTGTTTCGCTATATCCAAACATAAAACAAACTCGTTTACAATATTGTTCTTTGTCTAAAAGTAACTACACTTGTCTTGCCAAAAACTTAACGGAATAGATTATGGAAGTTAGGAGCCTGAAAGAAAAACCTTTACAATCCTTAATTTTCAGGATTTTTATTAAAAAGTTTAAATGAGAATATTTAAGGAATTTAAAATTTAAGATTTTTTTCAATTTTCTTCCTTTATGATATAGATTATAGATATACCTACATAGCAAACATAGTCATACAACTCTAAACCTAATTACAACAACAATTAAAGGCATAATCAGCTTCTAGGATCAATGTTCTTGTTGGTCATCTCGTTGTTCGAGTTAATGCTTTATGGATTGTGGCTACCATAATATGAGGTTCAGGTCTGATTTTTGGTTGGAGTCACCCTTTTGTTTCATATGTGTTTCTGGCGTCCACAACACGTCCTAACTATAGGCCGCTGAATCAGCAACGTTTATATTTTAATATTATAATTAAATAATATATACGTCCAAAAATAACCATATCTTTGTTTTCATGGTTATAAGTTTATTTGACTTACTTTGATTTAATAATCGTCGGTAATTATACCGACGATTATATTAAATGAAGGGGCGTTTCTGAAAACTCTTGTTTTTTACTCATTAATTAATTCTGTATTATTTCAACAGGGAATTAGGCGCCGTTAAGTTTTAATTTATTTTTTAAGCTTGGTTCTGTCAAAAATGGAACAAGGCTGAAATTGAAAAAAGCTCACAAATGCGAATAAACGAAGACCGATCAATTTACGTCATTATCTGTGTCGTAGGAGGCAACGTGACCGCGGGCTGGTTCCACCGACTTCCCTATTTTGTCACGAGGCAATCATGCATTCACTGGGTCGAAGGGTGTACATTCCCATTGGGTCGTCAATGTAAACTCTAACGTTAACCCGTAAACTCCGATAACCTACATTAACTAGATTGTCTGCCCATCAGATCGGACTAGAAAAAGAGTTCAAAAACTGTCTCAAACGGAAGCGCATATTTATGTTACATAACCGGTAGAAATACGGAATACATATTCTAAATGAGTAATTCATTTAAAAAAAGGTAACAGTTTATGTGAAGTAAAGTGAATCCATTTTCGAATCCTTTGCGCCCTCCGCGGAAGCGTCACAGGCAAATAAATTCCAAATTCAAAAGTAGGTTCAAGAAATGGAAGCTCCTCTACGTATCGAATTATAAAAAAGAGTACTAAGAAAACACAAAATCTCGATCTGTCCGGTCCATGTTTCAAGAGAGTACTTCTTCTCATAATAATATAAATTTCTATTTATAAAACTAGCTTTGATACTTGATACTTTCATTTCATTATACTTTCAGTTTGGGGGGTTGACACAATTATTGTTACACAGTCTAATTGCAAACTGAGGTCTCAAGATCGATCGTAGTATTCACGATGTCCGTTGGTTTCAGTATCCAATTATACCAAAGCGGCCGTGACCTACGTCTGTTCATCCACAAAAAATCATATATTACCACTAAAGCCCTATTCAAACCCACAGATATGCTGCGTGTCAGAGACAGACAAAAATCGGACCTTATATTATCTATATTATGAGCGTAATCAAATATCGCGAAAGTCAGCATGTCATTGTCACATCTATATGGATCGCCATCTTGGCGAAAAAGTTTTATTTTTGCCAAAACGAGTAGGTACCTCTATTTCTGCGAATGTTTTATTGTAAGTTGCGAAAAAATATCCATATCCATACATAGATGAAATTGTTATATCGGTTTTCTCATGCGTTACATAATATAATAAAAATTGAAACCTTTGATAATAATAATGATACCTATAGTTAGGATACGTGGTACTCGAAGACAAATACTGTTTATATTTACTATTACATATACATACACCCAAAACAATACCCCAATGCAATTATAATTAGACAATGATAATTTAATATTAAAACAATAATAAAACAAGACCACGAAATATTAAATATTAATAAAAGCAAAACCTTAACTGTCCTCTTCACATTCATAAACTAGACCGCGCGAGAGAGAGATGGGCAGACTTTTCATGATGCGCATGCAGTGTGACGTCACGCCACGCGCTTATACACAAACACTACACAAGCGCAACGTGTGAATGTGTTGAACGCGAGCTACATGCTAGGCGGAGTGAGGGGTGTAAGGTTTTTTTCGTTACGGAATTTCATAATTACAGTAAGCCGCGCTCAAGGCTCGCGATAAAAGCCATGCAATAGCTTAAAAACAATCAAAATTAATAGCAAAAGTATTATATTTTGACCGTCTTAATCGGATTAGGGTGACAAATCTTCGAAAATATTTCGAAGATTTTTAGAAGATACTTACGTTTTTATAAAATTTTTGTTACTACATTCGCGAACCAGCTGATGGCTTACCTGCTATTAAATGGAAATCACAGCGTACATGCGGCCACCATCTACTGATCCATTTCAATGCATAGATCGAAGACTCAAATTCGATAGATTCGATTCAATAGATCGAAATCTGCATTTGCCATAACAGCGAGTCCTCCTCAAACCAAACAGCAATTATCCCCTATAGAACGGAATACCATACTGAGCAACAAATTATTCAC